CTTTATTCTGAATGGGAATAAAGACATTTGTGAGCAGCTGAAGTGTTAAAAGACCCCCCCCAAAAAAAATAAATCTGGGATTTAAGTCCAGTTTAGACACAAATATTCATTAATCTCTCCCTTCCCTCCAACACTGCCCTATTTCACTTCACCTGACTCTTCCTCTCATCCCCATCATCCTCTTGGTCCACAATAAGGCAGAAAAGGGGCTTTTTGGGGTCTCTTTTCATCATCTGTCTCAGCCAGGGACTAAGATTTTGAGGAAGGTTTTTTTTTTTGTTTTGGCATATTTGTTGATTTTTTCATTTGTTTAATTTTTTTAATACATATTTTTTTAAAAAAAATTATTTGGCCTTTTGGTTTCTGACTTACTTTCAAGTATTATTTTTGCACGGGGAGGTGGGGAGGAAGAGGAGGGTTTGCCCCATGAGATTTGGTTCATGTGACAGATGGGGACAAAGAGGGGGAAGCTTAAAAGAAAAAGAAGGCAAGTCCTACTGGGTGAAAACATGGAGATTTTTAGGTAAAACCCTCAGGAAACAGGATTTTCTTTGCTCACGGCGCGGGGGAAAGAGCGTGTTCTGGATCACAAGACCCAGAGATGGAGCGACCATGACCCGAATCGTTTGCAAGACCCAAAGTGTCTCGGTTTCGGTGGAGAGAGAAGTTCACTGAGCTTGAATAAGGGGGTAGAACCCAGAAATCAAAACCTAATTTTAATTATGGCGCGTTTCAGAGCAGGAGTTTACAGCTGGAATTGGGGAAGAGCTCCCAAAAGTAGAAAAATACGTAATTTTATTCCACGTGGAGAAGAATTTTTGATGTTTCTCACCCGAAATGACGCCAAGCCCACCTGGCTTGGGGAAGAGACTCACCTCATCATTTGGGCATCAAGGGATGCCCGTCCTTTAGGAAGGCTCTTCCCAAAGACGCTTTCGACGAGCGTCACCCAGATGGGGGGGCTCAGTGCTCTCCACGATGGCCCCATACGGGCAGACTGAGCTAAAAGTCCCCGTCCTCCTCGAGCAAAAGGAGGAAACCCCAGATTTTGGGCCAACAGCCTGGACCTGGAGCGTGTTGCCCCTCTCGGTCCCCCCGCGGAGGCGATGAAGGTCTCTTCTCCTGCAGGTTACAGCCCTGAGGTGAAGCCGGAGGCGCGTGTCGCCTGCCAGGTGACGATGGCAGCGCTCTTCGCGGCTCTGCTCGTCACGGCCATCGCTTTCGCAGGTGAGTACCGAGGTTTTCGTCTCGCGGGGAACGTCTCTGAGACACTTGGGGTTGTCGCACGCGGGCCAGATCCACCTCCAGGCTCCCCGGGGAAGACGCAGCCCAAGCCAAGACGCAGGAGAGGGGCATTTCAACCAGCAGAGAAGCCTTTCTGCAGAAGACCAAACCCATCTCCTCTGTGTAGGAGCTGATGTCCTCTAGGAACCCTTAAAAAAAAAAAAACCAACAGAAAGAGACATTTCATGGGTACAGTCCTCTGAGCTTTCCCAAAGGTCATTTCCTCAGAGAAGAAGGGGCCGTTTCTCGGCTGCTTGTCCAAGCAGCAAGAGGTGTTGGCACGAGTCCCACCAAGCCAAGGAGTCTGCAGGAACAAGAGAACTTTCTTCTCTGTCCTTTGCCCGTCGCTGTTTTGGCTTTAATGACGGATAGCAACACCGGAGGGCGCGTTTAGGGATAGGGCTGGTTTGGAAATCCTCTTAAAACTTGTGGGTTTGGAGGCCACCACCCTGTTTCCTTCTTCGAAGGTACAGCACCCACATTTCTTGTCCTACGCCACAAGCTGGGCCACTGAGCCGAGCTTGTTTTCTCCCTCCAATCCACCCAAGATTTCTCTTGGTGCCTTGATTTTTCTTTCCTCCCACCCTTGAGGCAGATGCAAGATTTTTGGAGGCCGTGGGGTGGAGGGTGACCATCCCCACCCTGGAGAGGCAAGGGGAAGGGGTTGCTCCTTAACGCTGTTGCTCTACCGACGACAGTGCAGGCCTTTCAGCCTCGTCCCCAGCCCTGCTTTCGGTGTCCGTTCGACTGGATCGGGTACAGAGGAAAATGCTACTATTTTTCGGAGGCTGAGGGGAACTGGACGTCCAGCCAGGACAACTGCTCGGCACTTGGTGCTTCCTTGGCCATGCTGGACAGCGTGGAGGACTTGGTAAGGAGCCGTGAAGGTGTGCTTGGCATGGGGGAAAAGCAAAGCCACCAACGTATTCGCCACCTTTTGGGTTCTTTGACTGCTCTTCCAAGGACCTTCCTTGGAGATCTGGGGTGGGGAGATGGGGAAAACGGTTTTGTTGAGGGTAGGTCGTCATGGCTCTCCAAATTTCTCACCAAAGCCAACTGGTGCAAGAACGACGGCCAAAAAAAGGCCCCGTTTCTATGCAATAATAAAGCTCTGCCTTAAAGGTGACACCTTTTGGCAGCAGATGGAAAGGTTCAAGCACCAAAGTTGCCCCGAGGGCGCAGGAGGAACTGGTAAAAGACAGATTGTGGGTTGGAAGGAGGTTTCTGCAGAGGGTGACGTGCCGGAGACGTCCCAAAGCCGCGCGACCTGCCGTAAATCCTTCCTCTCTCCTCTTTTCCAGAGCTTCGTGATGAGGTACAAAGGCGTCTCGGAGCATTGGATCGGCCTTTCACGGGAAGATGAGGAGCAACCGTGGAAATGGGTGAACCGCTAACGTTTATCTCACCCGTGAGTCTGTGTTTTATCGTCGCGACGTCGCCGGTTGGTGCTTCCTCAGCCCCGAAATGCGCATTTCTCCTGGCATTTGGGGCGCACCCAGAGGTAGCCACGGCACAGTGACCTTGGGGAAAGGCACCGTTGCATCCAGAGCCTTGACTCGAGAGGCGGGAGCGGCGCGTTTGGCGGGGAAAACACCTTTAGTTAGACTTTTGTTTTTAAATAAGGTTTTTCTTCGGGCAAAGCATCAGGTTTGTTACGGCCAACCCAGACCGCTGCCAAGAATTGAGATTATTTGGGATTAATATGGGCATATTGATGCCCAGGAGAAGCAAAGAAGGGAGGGAAAAACCCCAAAGAAGTGATTTTTCTCCTTCTTTCTGAGGCCGGTCGTCTCATCTGTCCTTCCAGGTTTCAGATCGGCGGCGGGGGCCTCTGCGCCTGCCTCGGCGACGACGGGCTCGGCTCCTCCCGCTGCAGCGCCGCGAGGCGCTGGGTTTGCAACAAGCCCGAGCCGCAGAGCCCCAGCGAGGGCAACAGGACGCGACGGGCTCCAAACCTTTGCGCCGGCTCCTGAGGGGGCTGCAGGGAGCGCTCCTCCAACCCGAATACCCAGCGCCAGAGACGGGGGAAAAAAGAGCAAAACCTCCAAGAAACCCCCCCAGGAAAAGCACACTCGGGGGGGGGGAAAAAAGCCTGTTACCAAAAACTTGCCAAATAAGAACCAAAGTTATTACGTGTTCGCGTTCACCAACTCATCTTCGCCATGTGACCAAGAAAAATACCTGCTGATCACTCACAAAGCGAGAGGGAAGCCAAAGCTGCGCTGACCGAGCCCCGAAGGACGTCTGGAGGGTGAAGCTTCTCCCTGGAGCGTCTTTTAGCACTGCTGAGCTCCTCGAGCGTCCGAAAAGCAGATTATTTGTTAAAGAGCACGCGCCGTTTGTGGAAGATTCTCTCCAAAGAGCGAGGTTTGGGGTGAGGCGCGGTGGCGTTTTCCAGGCTCGCTCAGCGGCTTCGTGGGACGCGGCGCAGGACGCCGCCGTGGTCTTAAAACCGTGGGCCAGGGCTGGGGTGGCTGCTGACAGCAAAGCTGCCTGCAAGGCGCTCCTGCTTCCTGCAGAGCCGAGAAGACCCCCTGGATCCCACCGGGCTGAGGCTTGGTTAGATTAAAAACTAAAGAATGAAAGAACTAAAAAACCAAAGGACTAAAACCCCAAAGAACTAAAACCCCAAAGAAGTAAAACCCCAAAGAACTAAAACCCCAAAGAACTAAAGAATTAGAGAACTGAAACCCCAAAGAACTAAAGAACTAGAGAACTAAAAAGCTAAAGAACTAAAAAACTAAAAAGCTGAAGAACTAAAGAGCTAAAAAGCTAAAAACTGAAGAACTAGAGAACTGAAAAAAAGTAACTAAAGAACTAGAGAACTAGGGAACAAAAAAAAATCCTAGAGGACTAAAAATGCTAAAGAACTAAAAAGCTAAAGAACTAAGAAACTAAAAATCTAAAAAAAAATAAAAAGCTGAGGAACTAGAGCACTAAACGACTAGAGAACTAAAAAGAATAAAGAACTAAGCAACTAGAGAACTAAAAAAAAATAAAGAACTAAAGAACTAGAGATCTAAAAAGCTAAAGAACTAAAAACTAAAAGACTTAAAGACCTGAAAAACTAAAGCATGAAAGAACTAAAAAACTAAAGATCTAAAAACTAGAGAAGTAAAAACTAGGGAACTAAAAATCTGAGGAACTAGAGAACTAAAAAAACTAAAGAACTAAAAAACCAGAGAACTAAAAATCTAAAGAACCAAAGATCTAAAGAACCAAAGATCTAAAGAACCAGAGAACTAAGGAACTAGAGAACTAAAGAACTAAAAAGTTAAAAAAACCAACGAACTAATAAACTAAAAAACCCCCAAACCATAGATTAAATCCGTAATATTTCACAGTTCCCCAGCGATTTATTCCGAAAGGCAGCGGACGCGCATCCAGAACCACCTCGGTCCGTGGGCCCCCCCGTGGCTGTTTCTGTCACTGCTCTGAATTATCAGCCTGGAGGGTTTGGGGGGGTTTTAAGACGAAACCCGCTTTTTTTCCCCCACGTTGGACGGGGAAATCGCTGCTCCTTCGCCCGCGGCCGGAGCCTGCTCACACGCAGCATCTCCCACCGGGGGAGACAACGCGAAAGGGAAAAACATTTTCCATTCTCCCTCAACCCCTGGGAGATGCTGCGGGTCAGGGGATGAAAACTAAAAAAAAAAAAAAAACAACCCACCAGAATGGGGAGAAAATCGGAAAAATTATGAATATTCTATTTGACCCAAAGGGGATCCACGCGGCACCGGCTGCCCCGCAACTCGCCCACGTCCCCCCCCTCGTCCTTCCTTCGCCACCTGCTCGAGCGCCCCGAGATGTTTTTCTCTGCCCAGAACCGAAACACCAGCAGAAAACGAGGGCGACCACGTCGGGGCGAGGCGCTGGGGCAGCGCCTCGTGTTCCTGCACCCACAGCTCATTCATTTCCTTTTTTTTTATTCTTTTTTTTAAATTTTTTTAAGGCTGGCATCAGCGCTTTATGACGGCGCTGGAACCAGTTGACGTCCACTCGCGCGTCCAGACTGAGCCGTGCCCCAGCGGCGGCGTCCAGGCACCCTGGGAAGTCACTTGGTTTAATTTTTCCTTAAATAAATTCCCTTTGATGAAACAAAGAAATCCTTCACGCTTAAGGGTGAGGATGATAAACGGAGCAAAGCGTCCTTGCGGGAAGGGAGCAGTTTGGGTGCTCGGGTGGGTGGCGAGTCACATCCCACCGTGCCGCTCTGCACGGGTTTGTCCCTGCAGTGCTTGTAAGTAGGAAAAAAAGAGAAGAAAAAGAGGGATAAAAGAGAGGATTTAGGGAAGAGGAGAAAGTCCTGAGCACCACGAAAGCTTCGGGCTGGCTGGGGGCGGATGGAAAACCCCCCGGTTGGGTTCGAGGTTTGGCTGCGGTGATGCCGCAGGCGATTTTCCAGCTTTTCTGCGGTTTAGAGCACGCCACCAAAATGTCTTGTTGTTGTTGTTGTTGTTGGGGGGGATTTTTTTCATATATATACACACGTCTTCTTTTTCTCCCTCCCCTCCCGCGTGTGCAACGGGGACATCCACATCGCAGCCGCCTCCCTGGCGGCACCTCCCGCGACCCAGGAGCACCCCTGGGTGGGCACCCACGAGCCTGCGCAAAAACGCCCAAGGGTGGGGGGCGCCCCCCCAGCCCCCCGCCTCGCGCCAGAGCCGCCCCGATAGCGGCGTTTGTCAGGGTCACCCACGTCCCCACGAGCTCCCCAAGGGCCGGCGCGACGCCGGGCTCCGATTTTAATGAGTTGTAAGGATTTTTAGTGAAGTTGGGTGAAATTTTAGGAATTCGGGTGAAGTTTTAAGGATTTGGGTGAAATTTTGGGGATTTGGGTGAAATTTTAGGGATTTGGGTGAAATTTTGGGGATTTGGGTGAAATTTTGGGGATTTTAGTGGGAATCTAAAGCATTCCTAGAGCTGAGCATCCACAGCACAATCTGGGTGTGGTTTATTGAATATTTGCTTACGTGTGAGCGTATAGTAAAGGGGGGTTAGGTTTAAAATGGAGTTTAGGCTTAAAAAAAGAGGGTTTAGGCTGAAAAAAGAGGGTGTAGGCATAAAAAAAAAGTTTAGGCTTAAAAGAGGGGGTCTAGGCTAAAAATAAAAGGGGGTGTAGGTTTAAAAAACTCTCAAGAAAGGGAGGTTAGGCTTTAAAAAAGGGAGGTTAGGCTAATAAAGGGGGTGTTAGGCTTAATACAAAAGAGATTTATTCTTTAAAAAGGGGGTTTATGCTTTAAAAAGAAGTGGGTTAGGCCCAAAAATAGGGCTTTAGGCTTCTAAAAAAAGGAGGTTTAGGCTTCAAAAGGGGGGTTAGACTTAAAAAGAAGTGGGTTAGGCCTAAAAAAGGGCTTTAGGCTTAAAAAATAGGAGGTGTAGGCTTAAAAAGAGGGCTTTAGACTTTAAGAGAAGGCAGTCAGGCCTAGAAAAGGGCTTTAGGCTTAAAAAATAGGAGGTTTAGGCTTTAAAAGGGGGGTTTAGACTTAAAAAGGGGGGGTTAGGCCTAGAAAACGGCTTTAGGCTTAAAAAAGAGGAGGTGTAGGCTTAGAAAGGTGGGTTTAGGCTTAAAAAGGTGGGTTTAGGCTTAAAAAGAAGGGCATTAGGCCTAAAGAATGGGGTTAGGCCTAAAGAAGGGGGTTCGGCCTAAAAAAGAAAGGAGGTTTAGGCTTAAAAAGAAGGTTTAGACTTAAAGAAGAGGGAGTTTGGCTTAAAAATAAGGGGGTTTAGGCTTAAAAAGCCATTTAGGCTTAACAAAGGAGTTAGGCCCAAGGAGGTGGGTCGGGAGAAGCCTGGCGGCGGAGGGTTAGGCAACGCAAAGCCGAGCCGCCAAGTCAACCCCCGGATCGTCACCCAAATCCCGCTGAACTTTGCCCAAATATGGTCCCTACCGCTGAGTCACACGGTCACTCCCAGGTGACGTCACCCACGGGGCCAGGGATGGGGGAAAAACCGTTGCGCCCCCACCCTACACCTAAAATAACGTATGGCGGCCAAAAGGGGGGGAATAAACCCAAACGCACTTTTCTTCCCTTTTTTTTCTTGCTGCTGGAGGAATTTTTCTTAATCATCAGCTTCAAATTGGGACTTTGCCTTCGCACCCGCTGCAAAAAAATACAGATTTTTCTTGTTGTTTTGTTTGTTCTTTTTCAACTTCCCCACCCAAATTAAACAACATCATCCCTGTGCGGGCCAAATTAATTGTGCAATTAATTAATTCCCCCCCAACGCCGTTTATATGAATATATAAAATTATAAATACTCCCCGAATAAATCCCATTTACCCGCGCAGTGTTCGCGGCAAAACCCCACCTTTTTTGGGGAGCAAACCCACAAATTATCACACGAGACAGGGAATAGGAAAAGAGTTTATATATGAGTAAATGAGAGTAAATTACAAAAACAGACTATTATTAATCCTTGAGTGCAGCAGCAAGTCAGTCACACGCATCATCACCACGTACACAAGGAAACAAACACCTCAAGTATCGTAGATAAATACTTTTTTCACATTTTGCCTTTGTAAACAGAGGAAAAAGTGGAATTTTTCCCTCTTAAAATACCAGTTGGAATAAAAAAATAGCCACTATTTGCAGCCCAAATTTGACAAAACCCTGAGGTGGTGAAAATCGTCCAAAACTAGAAGGGGGAAAAAAAAAAAATCTGCACTAAAATATATTTCTGGAAGTGCTATCTACGTATTTTTTTAGTGTATTCCAACCTAAAAACCATTTTAATGCTAAACAAAAGAATCTGCATTGAAATATATTTCTAAATTTCTGAATCTCCAGAAGTGCTTGCACATATTTTTTTAGCGTTAATGTAAAAACCATTTTAATGCTACAAAAAGGTAAAAAATATCCATATCAAAATTAATTTCTAAATTTCTGAATCTCCAGAAGTGCTATGTACCCATTTTTTTAGCGTTATTGTAACCTAAAAACCATTTTAATGCTACAAAAAAGTTAAAAAT